TACCCGCGAACGTTTTCGAGTCTCCATCGCCAATGTAATTGACGTACTTTACGCCGTGCTTTTCTTCAGATCGTACAAACATTTCAGTAATTGAATCAACTTCCATCTTTCCGGCCGAACCTTCGTGATTAGATGAACAATGATCTTTATGATTTTCATACCACTCCAAGAATTCGTCGTCGTCATACTTCTGTTTATTTATAGCACACGCGTGACAGTATCCACTTTTTACGATGAGATCAATTACTTTACCAGTATAGTATCCGATGAGCGTTGTCTGTCCGAAAAGTGAAGTAAAACCTCATTTCTTCCACGAGCCACCGCTGGACACTTTTAAATGAGTTTCGTTTCTTCCTTTTTTTTCATTCTTCTTCCGCTCTTCTTCGACAGCTTTCTTCGTTATTTCTTGAAACATCGTTGCCGATGCCGTGTGCAAATGTTGCACTATATTATTGTACGCTGATGCTGCAAGTCCTTGGCACATATCCATAAATCCACAAAATATGTTGAGGCCTTCGTGTGCAATGCCAAGAATCCTCATAACGAACACAATTCGTCTGTTTACTTCGTACGAATTTTTTATAAACGGACCCGATTATATTTCTCTATGACCGCATGCACACGTCACTACAATGTTAAAGCCTAAGCCTCGGTGTCCACTCTCTTCAAAAGTCACTTTTTATTTGCAGGTTTTGCAACATAATATATCGGAAAGCGCACCAAAAACCGTTAAGAATTCGATTATTCGATAAAAGTGCAGCGGGCTAAGAATGACATCTTCGATACTCCTATCCGCCAATTTCCTATTGCTAGCACTCGTATTCGAATCATGGCCATCTTCTGTATCAAATAAATACTGATTTCCGTGAAATGTTCGTTTCCTCGGGAGCGGTGCACTTGGACACGGTGCATTTGGACACAGCCAATCACAGCACCGTGTGATTAGAGACATTTGTAGGGTCTCTTGGAACAGCGACTTGTGATTGGACTGTGTCCAATTGCCTCGTGTCCAACTGATATACACCCCGTTTCCTCGGCCACGCAGTTCGTTCTGATTCAGATTTTGTGCGTTTCGGGTAACTCGCCATGATGCTTACGACATTCACGCGCCGAAAATCGGAGCAGAACTGACCGTTGTCGTTTGCAGCTGCAAGTACAGAATCACGTGATATAAACGTGATATACACATTTACACTTCTGTATATGAACTACGAACTCCGAAATGTGACACGCACCGAGGAATTTCCGAACAAAGGGCCGAGAGGTGGGGCGAGAAACCGCCGCTGGCCGGCCGCCGTCTACCTGCTCGACGCTTGCTCGACGCTTGCTTAGTTTCGGCTTTATATCTTTAGAACTAACTCGAATTGGCTTTTATAACTTTCTGGGGATATTCTTGGATAGTTTATTTATCGATTTAAGCAAACTTGAAAAAAAAATTTTTTTTTTTCGATTTTACATGTACTTCCTCCCTTAAGCGCATTCACTCTTTTATTGCCTGTTACATACTCATTCTTTAATCTTGCAGTCACAATTAGCTCCTTACTAGATCGATTCTCAAATTCTTTAGTTTTTCCGAACACCATCTCTTTCCTCTTCCGTCAGTGACTCTACTTTTTTGAAAATATTTCTTACCTTTACCATCTTTTCAAAGGCCATACTACTTTTCTTTCTTTGGACAACACAAAATCCTTCTTGATCCTCATTATCTAATTCCATTATTTTAAAACTTTCCTCATTTCCTAATGTTTCTTCTACCTCTCTATCACTCTTGTTAATTTTCTCCTTGACATGTCTTCTCTTAGTTTGTTTATTCTTATCATCACGTACCCCTGTTTGTTTCAATTCATCTTCCTTTGACCTCCTTCGGCTTATCTGATCGGAACCTTCACTAGTACTTCTCTCGCTATTTTTAAATGATCCCATTTTCCTCCTTTTTACCATTATGCTATCACTTTCCTCTTCGTCTTCACCCAGTAATAAAATCTTTTTGTCCGTAACAAATCTTTCGAAAACACCTTCTGACACAGTAGACTTTCTTTTATTTACCGCCTCATCATTATTTACACTCATGACCTCAACTGTATCATTTTTCTCTTTGTCCTTAACATGAAACTCCTCGGGCATAACCCTACGGGAGCGTTCTAATTGACTACAGTACGATTGGACACCACCAATCGATGAAAAGAATTATCTAGTAAATTACTAGATCGAACCAATCATTATAATCTGTGTCCAATCGTACCGTGGTCAATCGGATGCCACTCTAATTCTACAGAGCCTCTTTAGTCCTCGCCTATTTCTCTTCTTATGACCCTTCAATTATCTCCATTCTTAAATACAAAAAAAGGAAACTTTAATCTCAATATTATACCCACCCTATAGGTCTTTACCCAACCCTGCTTGATACCCAAAAAAGAAAACTCAGCAAAAGAGCTATCTATAATCTCCTCTACGCTGCTCAGCGAGCACGTCCGCATGCTATCACGTCCAAGACGAGACTCCGACATAAATGTTAAATAGAATAGGGCTAAGAACCAAGTCTTGTGGAACTCCCTTGGTAGCAATCCTTTGGGCGAATTGGGTGCCATTATAGAAGTCCGCAACTTTTCTCTCCTTCAGCATGTTATTAAGTAGTCGGAAAAGTCATGACGCATTTTTGCAACAGATAGCGCTAGTTCATTTTTTGAATTACTAGAGTCATTCGCATGTATGTTATTGCTATGTCATTTGATAACTGACAGTTCTAGCTTCATTCCAAAAAAAATTGAACAATTTGGCTGAGTTTTGGAGATTTTATAACAAGTTGAAGATGGAAGACCAAACTGTGCATTTTTCGCCATATATTACTGTTTTACTTTCGTAAAGGAAAGAATGTGCGTCAAGCTCATGAAAAGTTGCATAAAATTTACGATGACAATGCTGTACAAGAACGTCAGTGTCAACGATGGTTCACAAAATTCCGTGCTGGTGATTTTGATCTCAAAGACGCTTCTCGGTCAGGGAGACCTATCGAGGTTGATGGGTGTATATCAGTTGGACACGGGGCAATTGGACACAGTCCAATCACAAGTCGCTGTTCCAAGAGACCCTACAAATGTCTCTAATCACACGGTGCTGTGATTGGCTGTGTCCAAATGCACCGTGTCCAAGTGCACCGCTCCCGAGATTGATGACGACAAAATAAAGGCATTGATCGAGTCAACCCCACGTTACACGACACGAGAGATTGTAGAAACATTGAATATCCATCATTCAAGCGTTCACGACTACCTCAAGAAACTGGGATACGTAAGCAAGCTCGATATTTGGGTTTCTCATGAACTCAAAGAAGTTCATTTCACAACGCGTATAACATCTGCGATATGCTTATTAAACGTGAGGAAAACGACCCTTTTTTGAAGCGATTGATAACTAGTGATGAGAAGTGGATTGTTTACAACAATGTGGTGCGCAAACGGTTTTGGTCCCGACGTGATGATTTGCCTCAAACAACATCCAAAACAAACATTCATCAGAAAAAGATTATGCTCTCAATGTGGTGGGATTTAAAGGTGTCGTGTTTTTTGAGCTCCTACCAAGGAACCAAACAATCAATTCGAATATATACTGTCGACAATTGGACAATTTGAACGAATCCATCATCCAGAAACGTCTAAAGCTTGTTAATTGTAAAGAAGTTATGTTCCATCACGACAACGCAAGACCACACAAGTTTGATTACCCGTCAAAAATTATTGGAGTTTGGATGGGATATGTTGCCATACCCACCATACTCGCCTGATCTTGCGCCGTCAGACTTTCACTTGCTTCGCTCTCTCCAAAACTCCTTGTGTGGTATAATGTTCAATTCAGATGAGACTATAAATCAGCACATTGTTCAATTTTTCGCCGATAAAGACAGGTCTTTCTATGAACAAGGAATAATGAAGCTCACTGAAAGATGGCAAAAGGTTATCAAACAAAACGGGCAATATATCATTGATTGATCTTTGTTTTTTATATAAACCTTTAAAAAACATAGAAAAAATACGTCATGACTTTTCTGATAACCCAAAATAAAAAAAGTAAAATCTTAAAGGTATATCTAAATAAAAAAAAGTAAAATCTTAGAAGGTATACCTAAATAAAAGAGTAAAGAGATTAAGATGGAAGGATTGACATTATCAAAAGCTCTGTTAACATCAGTAAAAACAACAACCAAGGAATCGCCTTTAGCCAATGCTTCTTTGCTTTCACTATAAAAGTACATTAAATTATCAATGCAGGCTTTGCCCTTTCTAAAGCCAAATTGATGTAGATTGTACACATTAAAATTTTCCACCCACCATTCCAGGCGATAATAAACGAATTTTTCAAAAACCTTAGCCAAACTAGCAAGTAAAGCAAGTGAAATTGGCCTATAACTCTTAGAACCAAATTATGGAGTACAAATATCATAAAAAATTCTTTCCAAGATGAAGGATAGGTGCCGTTGTTAAACATTAAGTTAAAAATGCGAAGTAGCATTTTAATAGTATTTGGAGGAAAATAAGAAATTACCATGCTAAATAATAAATCAGAGCCAGCAGTAGTTTTGAGAGATTTAATGGCTGAAATTAATTCCTCGAAAGAAAAAGGTTTCAAAAAAAATTGTGAGCTAGTACTAGAACTTTTCTTTCTATTTAAAATGTATAAAAGAGAGTCATTAAATTTAATAATATTAAGATCCTTGAGCCAGTTAGAGAACAAATCCCCTCCATGCCGCCACCTTATCGTGGTGGAGGGGTACCGGCGATCCGATGAAGGCTCGGCGGCAGTACCTTTCGGTTTCGGCTGAAAGGAAGGCCCCTACCTGAGGATCGCTGGCGAACGGCGGCAACGGGGAAGGAAAACCCCCACAGAAAACCGGACCGCGGTGGGCTGCAGCCCCGCGGTTGCTAGAGAGGGACGTAAATTCCTCCACTGCAGGCGAGCCCGGCGACTCCCACAGGGCCGATGGGCCCAATCGCTGGTAGGGGTAGGCGGCCCTGACTCCAATCGCCCGGCCGGCTGGGGCCGTTATGTGGAGCTTACTCCACTACCAGCCACTGGGGAGGGGTTTCGGGGTTGGGGGGGCCTCCGCTCCGGGACGGGTGGAATTACCACTCCTCCCGGGGGAGGAGAAGAACCCGACTCTCAAGGCACTTCAGCCGAGAGAGCGGGTTGCCCTCAATCCGCTCAGCGTAGGAGACGTCCTGCGTTCGAGCGGGGAGAGGTACCCACACCCGCGACTGCACACCGGAGGAGTCGCCTCACGGTTCGCGGGGGGTGGAGGGGTGTCCGGGCCGCTCGAACGTATTTCGAGGTCAGGGCCGGCACCCTGGGATTGGCGCCGGCTTTATGCCAGCGACTTCTCCCGTGTGGGCAGCTGCGCACGGGAGTAATAGGGGAAAGGTGAACGGGCCCGGTTCGTCCAATATGGGCGGCCGGTGCCGGGGAGCTGACCCCTACAGCGGGGGCGGCCGGGTCCCAAATGCCAGTACGGCAACCGGCCTTCTCTCTCGGGTGGCCGCTGCGCCGAGAAAGTGCCAGGGGTCGGCGCGGCCGATTAGCCCCCTCGGGTGGTCGGTCGGGTCGGCCCTTACAGCGGAGAGCCCGGGCGGCGGCGATTGCGACATGGTAAAGTCGCGGCCCCGGGCGGAGTCAACAGCTGGGGCCCACGGCGGTACGCGGCATGGGTGGGTCGCAACACCCTTTCGCCGTTGTCCGTTTGTAGGGCCCCCCGCGTGGCGGCGGCCCCGACGGTGCCCACATGGTCGGAGGTGTGCGACCCCCAAAACCGGTTCAGTCCCTTGTGGACTGAGGCGGGAGTAGGGGGCAGGAGACCAGTGCCCCCTGTGCGGAATTCCCGGGGGGCCAGAGGCATAGGTCCTCTCCCGGCGAGTACGCCGGGCATCCTCCTTCTCCTAATGGGGGGGGGGAGGATGGGAGATTCACCGGAGGACCGAGCCGTCGGGGTTGGCGAGATACACTACTAATGGCAGAACATACCACAGTAGTAGAGGAGGGCAGGGCCGCCACGTCATCGGCGGTCCTGGAGACCGCAGGCTCGCCTGCGATCTCGACTGAGGCTGCAGCTGCGGCCTCACAAACGGGAGGGACAGAGGGCGTGCCGGTCACCAGCCGCCCTCAAGGGGAAACCGGCGGAGAGCCGGCGAAAGTGAGCGACGGGAGAGGCGGGGTGCCCAGACGGGCCGCTTCGCCTTCATTCGTTCGCTTACACAGTGCGGAGAGGCGACGAACAAGGTCCGCCTCTCGCGGACGCGCGTCGGCCGGGGGGGGGAGAACTCTCCCTCCCTCCCGGGCGGCGGGCTAGACGAGGCCGTAGCCTCAACATCGGCGGCGGGAAGTGGCGGCGGGGATGCTGGCGGCGGCCTGATCAGGTCGCCGTCCCCATCCACGGTGCGCCGTTCGGCCAGGGTCGCGAACGGGCGGACGGGCGCTGGCCCCAAGAGTGGGGTCAGCGCTCTGGTAGCAGAGTGCGACAGGCTGGGAGAGGAAGAGGGGGATGAGGCGCTGCTGAGGGAGATTGAAAATCCCTCCATCAAGCCATCGACTCCCAGAGCCATCCGGGTGATGGAGGAGGAGACAGGCATCCTCCACGACCTCCGGGCGCAATCCACGCCCGAGATATCGTCCATGGCGCTTAAGGCCGTGGACGAGATAAAAAAGGTCGCGGAGAGATCCCGCAACCTGCAAGGGGCCTATCGTGGGGCCCTGTGGAGTGCTGCGGCCAAAATGACCGCATGCAGCCTCGCCCTGGTGCAGAGGGCCAATAACGCCGACGGGTCCGGCACAGGCGAGGCTGAAAGGCGAGAGGCGGCGGCGGACGCGAGGGAGCGAGCGCGTCTAGAGGCGGAGGGCGAGCTGCTCCGCATACGCGTCGCCGAACTCGAGACGCAGCTGGAGAAGGCCTGCAGACCCGGCCCCTCCAGCAACCATCCGGGAGTGACCTCGTCCCCCATAGAGGTGGACGGGGAGGATGGCGACAACCACGGCACTAGGCCGCGGGGGGGTCATAACAGTAGGGACTTCTCCGCGGACCGGAAGAGGAAGAGGGCGGGACACCAAGACGATGACTCCTCGTCCTCTCCCGACGACACCAA